CTTCTGAGAAGCCGAGAATCGTCTACAATGGTCCCCTCAGCCGGGCTCATTGAAGGGGCGGGTGAGAGAGGACGAGCCCAGCTGGGCCCCTCCCTCGCAGGTCCTGGCTCTGTCCCCACAGCGGGTTGGGTGGACTGTGCTGACCGCAGTGTGATGACTGGGCCTTGGGGGGGACAGGCCTCTGCTGAGCAAGGAGGGGATTTGGGAGTCTGGCTGGTTTGCTGTTTGCCCTCAGGAAACCTGAGCTGGTTCACACCACACGATGCGTCACCGAGACCGCGGCGAGCTCAGCCTGGCCGCCGGGGCAGGGCCAGGGGCGGCAGCAGCCCACACTGGGCAGCAGGCGGGCGGGGGCACCCAGGGCCACGGAGGTGCCCCCAGGTTCTCTTCCAGCCCAAACGTCCTCCCCTGGGGTTCCGAGCTCAGACCTGCTCCAGCGGCCCAGCAGGCAGAGCAGGCACTGCCCAGCAGCAGCACGCCGGGCCCCGACATGGGGATGTATGTGATGGTTGAAGGAATATGATACTTCCCCAAAGCATCAAGCAGTCGTCACGGGCAAAGCCAGGAAACGAGAGGCCTTCCTCATCCCTGTTCTCTGGTTTGGAACGGGTTTGTTCTGAGTCACGCACTGGGCAGGGTGCAGGCGCCATACTGTCCACAGGGCTAAGCTGACTGCTGTCCTGCCCTCGGAGCACATGTGCCCGGTTCCCCAAACCGCGGCGCTGCCCACCCGGCACCCCTGAAGGAGCTGCTCTGCCTCCAAGTCCCAGGCCGGGGGGATGAGCAACCCAGGCAGCAGCGTCCTATGGACAACGCCGCCCAGCCCTCCCAGGTGACTGCAGCCTAGGCGGCGTCTGCACCCGTTACCCACTGCCTCCTCCACTCACTCAGGTGAGCTTCCACATTAATGCTGTTTCTTGGTCATCCATTTAGGGGACAACCTGACACATTAAATGGTATCACGTGTCACCCCAGCACATGAACCAACGTAGGAACTGAAGCCGGAGCAAACGGGTCGCAAATGGGAGGAACTTTGAAACGAGTGGGTCATTGGATGTCGATCAAGTCGCATCAGACAGTGTCCGTTACACGGGTGACCGTGTGCTGGGACCCCCACCGCCACTTCCCTCTGAGCCAGGGCGACTGCGAGCTCTCCTGGCTCTGGCTCCTCACCGGCCCGGCCCGCGTGCCAGCGGAGTCCTGCCCTCAACACTGACCCGCGGCCCTCTCTGGGCCTCAGAGGTGCCGAGGGACGACAGGGACCCGGCCTGCGACAGGATGGGATCAGTTCGGTGCACCTGCCAGGCGCTCATGCTGGGGGAGGGACGGTACCTCGGGGTGGGCGTAGGCGGCGGCCGCATCCCT